ATAGTTTAAGTCCATTGTTTCTTTGTTGACTTTCTGTCTTGATGACCTGTCTAGTGCTGTCAGTGGAGTATTGAAGTCCCCCAATATTGTTGGGTTGCTGTCTATCTCATTTCTTAGGTCTAGTAGTAATTGCTTTATAAATTTAGGAGTTCCATTGTTCATATATATTTAGGATTGATATTTTCCAGTTGGACAAGGCCTTTTATCATTATATAATTTCCTTCTTTGTCTTTTTAAACTGCTGTTGCTTTAAAGTTTGTTTTGTCTGATAAAAGAATAGCTACTCCTGCTCATGTTTGGTGTCCATTTGCATAGAATGCCTTTTTCCACCTCCTTACCTTTTTATGTGAGTCCTTATGTGTTAGGTGATTTTCTTGAAGGCAGCAGATGCTTGGTTGGTGAATTCTTATCCATTCTGCAATTCTGTATCTTTTAAGTGGCACATTTAGGCCATTTACATTCAACATTAGTATTGAGATGTGAGGTACTATTCCCTTCATCATGCTATTTATTGCCCGTATATCTTTTTTTTTTTAATTGTATTTTTGTTTTATAGGTCCTGTGAGATTCTTGCTTTAAAGAGGTTCTGTTTTGGTGTGTTTCCAGGATTTGTTTCCAGATTTAGAGCTCCTTTTACTAGTTCTTGTAGTGCTGGTTTGGCAGTGGCAAATTCTCTCAGCATTTGTCTAAAAAAGACTGTACCTTTCCTTTATTTATGAAGCTTAGTTTTGCTGGATACAAAATTCTTGGCTGATAACTGTTTTGTTTAAGGAAGCTGAAGATAGGGTCACAATCCCTTCTAGCTTCTAGTGTTTCTGCTAAGAAATCTGCTGTTAATATGATTGATTTTCCTTTATAGGTTACCTGGTGCTTTTGCCTCACAGCTCCTAAGATTCCTTTCCTTCGACTTGCCTTTAGATAACCTGATGACAATGTGCCTAGGTGATGATCATTTTGTGATTAACTTCCCAGGTGTTCTTTCTTGTATTTGGATGTCTGGGCTTCTCATATTTGTACGTCTTGGTCTCCAGTGGGCCAGGGAGGTTTTCCTTGATTATTCTTGCAAAAATGTTTTCCAAACTTTTAGATTTCTCTTCTTCCTCAGGAATGCAAATCATTCCTATGTTTGGTTGTTTTACATAATCCCAAACTTCTTGAAAGCTTTCTTCATTTTTTAAAATTCTTTTTTCTTTGTCTTTGTTGAATTGGGTTAATTCAGAGCTTGTCTTCGAACTCTGAAGTTTTTTCTTCTGCTTGTTCGACTCTATTGCTGAGACTTTCCAGAACCTTTTGCATTGCTCTAAGTTGCAATTGTTTGTTATTTGTGCTGTTTCAATAAAGATTTCTCCCCTCATTTCTTGTATCTTTTTTTATTTCCTTAAATTGGACTTCAACTTTCTCTGGTGCCTCCTTGATTTGCTTAATAATTGATCTTATGAATTCTTTTTCAAATAAGTCAGAGATTTCTTCTTGGTTTGGACCCATTGCTGGTGAGCTAGTGTGATTTCTGGGAGTTATGATTTTCTGGTAATATGGTGAAACAAAGAACCTTGTTTTGCCATATTACCAGAATTGCTTTCCTGGTTCCTTCTCATCTGGGTAGGCTATGTCTGGGCTCAAGGCTGCTGTTCAGATTCTTTTGTTCCATGAGGTGTTCCCTTGATGTAGTACTCTCCCCCTTTTATGGTAATGGTATAAAAATAGGCACATAGACCAATGGAGCAGAATAGAGAACCCAGTAATAAACCCAACTACTTATAGCCAACTGATCTTCAGCAAAGCAAACAAAAACATGAAGTCAAGAAAGGACACCCTATTCAACAATCCTAGTCAACAATGGTGCTGGGATAATTGGCAAGCCACATGTAGGAGAATGAAACTGAATCCTCATCTTTCACCTTATAGGAAAATCAACTCATGATGGATCAAGGACTTAAAACTAAGACCTGAAACCAAAAAAATTCTGGAAGATAATATCAGAAAAACCCTTCTAGACATTGACTTAGGCAAACATTTTATGACCAAGAACCCAAAAACAAATACAACGAAACCAAAGATAAATAGGTAGGACTTAATCAAACTAAAAGGCTTTTGTACAGCACAATAAACAGTGAGCAGGGTAAACAATCAACAAAGTGGGAGAAAATCTTCACATGCTATGCATCTGACAAAGGACTAATATCCAGAATCTACAAGGAACTAAAACAAATTATCAAGAAAAAAAAAATCCCATCAAAAAGTGGGCCAAGGACATGGATAGACAACTCTCAAAAGAAGATATACAAATGTGTAGATGTGTAGGGTCCAGCCCTACAGGGTCCTTGGAGCCCTTCTCTGCTGGTGTGGAGACGGGAAACTGTAGAAATAGACACAAGACACAGAGATAGAGAAAAGAGAGTTTGGGCTCGGGGTCCACTGCCAACCAAAGTGCAGAGTCCGGCAGTGGCCCTGAGTGTCCATGCACTCTGACTTTTATTGAGTACAAAGCTGTGGGCAGGGTAGGTAGGGCGTGGCATCGGTGGTCAGTGATAGAGTCAAGTACATCATGTGTCATACAGGTAGGGGCCCAAGGCTTTCTAGTAGCCAAGATGAGGTAAGCAGCATAATGCATCAGCACTTTTCCATACTTGTCAAGAAAGAACAAAGACCTTAAGATTTATATTACTTTTACTGATTATCTCTTCTGAGAAAAAAGGAATCAGTTGCAAAAGTGGAACATAAGAGTGGACATGGAACGTGACCAATGAAACACAGCATCACATAGAGACAATTAAGCCCCCGGATGTCTGCGGGCCTACCTGACAGCCATCAGGCCTACCTGACAGCCATCAGGCCTTCTGCAAGAGCTTGGAGGAGCGGAGTTTTCTCCTAACTCCCCGGAGGAAGGAGATGTCTCAGCCATCTTGGACGTCTCCTTCCCTGGCTGGCTAAACAGCGGGCACTTTCCCAGCACTGGTGCTGCCACACAGCCGAGGCACCCTACAGCAGCCCTTACACAAGCATGACAGAGGATTTAAAGCATCTTGCCTTGGGGTCATTCCTTTCACCAAGTCACTCCAGGTTCACACTTTGGGACCTGAAAGGCATTAGTAAAAGAACTAAGATTACCTATGAATAACTAAGATCACATATGAATAATCAAGATCACCTATGAATAACTGCTATGATTATACCTCTAGTTATTTCCTTCTTCATTATTTATATGGGAATAAGCTGAGGCTTCTGACTCCTGCCTTGGCACTTATGAGGTCTCCTTCCCACACAAATGGCCAACAAACATGAAAAAACGCTCAACATCACTAATGATCAGGGAGATGCAAATCAAAACCACAACGCGATACCATCTTACTCCCACAAGAATGGCCATAATCAAAAAAATCAAAAAATAAAAGATGTTGGCGTGGATGCGGTGAAAAGAGAATGTTTCTACGCTGCTGGTGGGAATGTAAACTAGCACAGGCTGTATGGAAAACAGTGTAGTGATTTCTTAAAGAACTAAAAGTAGAACTACAATTTGATCCAGCAATACCACTAATGGGTATCTACCCAGAGGAAAAGAAGTCATTATATAAAAAAGATACTTGCACACACATGTTTATAGCAGCACAATTCACAATTGCAAAAATGTGAAACCAGCCCAAATGCCAATCAATCAACAAGTGGGTAAAGGAACTGTGGTATTCACAGTGACCTGGATGAGACTGGAGACCATTGTTCTAAGTGAAGTAACTCAAGAATTGAAAACCAAACATCGTATGTTCTCTTTCATAAGTGGGAGCTAAGCTATGAGGATGCAAAGGCATAAGAATGACACAATGGATTTTGGGGACTTGGGGGGAAAACGGTGGGAGTGGGGTTAAGAATGAAAGACTACCTCTGTTGAACCCTACTAATTGGGTTCAGTGTATACTGCTCTCGTGATGGGTGCACCAAAATCTCACAAATCACCACGATAGAACCTAGCAATAGACCTGGTACCCACTTTGCACTGCTCAGCACAGAGACAGAAAGATGCCAGTACTCAGTCAGGGTAACTCGGGGTTTCCTCCTTCAGATGGGGCAAGTGGGCCCCTCCGCCCTCCTCCTTCTGCTGACTGCTACTTGGGCCTGGCTGCCTGCTCTCTCTAGAGCCACCAGGTGCTGGGGACAGGTTGGAAAGGAGGTAGATCTGGGTTTAATTCCCAGCTGTGTTACTAATTAACTGAGTCCCCTTTCCTGCATTGAGTCCCATGTCTAAAGTGGGGAACACGCGTGTTCTGCAGTGCTGTGAGGTTTAAAGAATGTGATGTGTCTGAAGCTCCAGTGGCTGCTTACCTGAGCACTTCTCAGGATGTGCGATGATGACTGGTTTTCATGGATGTCTGACCAGATAAAACTGGGGCTTCTGGATGACAGGGAATCACCTACTTCCTATATCAAGCCCAGGATTGAGTGTGAAATATGTCTTCAACAAAGGTAATGTAAGATGAAGAAGCTGAGAACAGCTCTTGCCCTTGTGCTAGGACTGTGACTCATTCATCCACATCTTCAGCACTGTTTTTGAGCCAGGTCCCATCCCAGGCACTTAGGGACGTGTTGGTGAACAAGCCCAGCTCCTGGGCTCCAGGGGCTCCTATCCGGGGTGTGCGTGGAGCCGACGTTCTGCTTTCTCTCTCCTTACAGGCGTGTGGAACTGCTGACCCAGGATGTCGGGGCTCAGGCTGGTAAGAATTGTATTATTTGATCTAGGGGTTATTGGTGTAAGTTACTCAAGGCTACGTTGAATAGCTCCCAAGGAAAGAGAGGAAAGGCAATGAGATCCCATAGGAAAATACCAGAGACACGGAAGTTTAGGTAACATGACAGACTTTAGCATCTAAAGAAAACAAGTTTGGCCGATCAGTGGCCTCAGCGATACATGCACAGGTATGTGTGCTTATCCCTAGCTTCCATGCAGGGCTTAACATGTTCCTTTGTCTTGACAAAGGGATTTCTTTTTTTTTTTTTTTTTTTTTTTTTTTCAGACAGGGTCTCACTCTGTCAACCAGGCTGGAGTGCGGTGGTGCGATCTTGGCTCACGGCAACCTCTGCCTCCCAGGTTCAAGCGATCCCCCAGCCTCGGCCTTTCGAGCAGCTGGGACCACAGGTGCATGCCACCACACCCAGCTAATTTTTATATTTTTTGTAGAGACAGGATTTCACTGTGTTTCCCAGGCTTGTCTCAAACTCCTGAGCGCAAAGCCGCCTGCCTTGGCCTCCCAAAGTGCTGGGAGTACAGGTGTGAGCCACCGTGCACGGCCAACAAAGGGATTTCCCAGTTGTCTCATTGCGGCAGTTGCAGGGAGCTCCCCTAGAGAAAACAGGGAACTGGGGAACTGTGGGCGTGGGTAGAACTGAAACCCAGGTCCAAATCATCGCTTTGGACTCTGCATTGTGTTCCCTTCACTCAACAAATATCCCTGTGTCCCAGTGGCCAAGAGATGGCTCCTCCACAGGAAGGAAGTAGAGGAGTTTTGCATTTACATCCAATCAACAGCTGCTGGGGAACCGCCCTGCCCTGGGAGGCAGGGAACAGGCCTTGAGAAGCCTGGAGGCAGGGCGTGCAGGGTGGAGAGCTCAGAGGCAGGGGAGCCCAGAGAAGAGACCCCAAACCAGCCTGTGCATCCTTCCCTGTCTTCCATATTTCCAACCTTGCCTCATGCCCCACGGAGTCCAGGAGAGCTGGACAGTGCTGCAAAGTGCTCTTTGATAAGAAAATGCCCCAAATGTTCTCCTCCTGCTTGCAAAGCCACGTAGGCTTTTGTTCCTGGCTGCTGGACCACACTGCTGAGAGGAAGACCTTCACTAAGCAGGAGTCCCTGGTTCTACCACTAAGCCTGGCAGCATCTGCCTCACAGAATGGGCAGACAAGGTTGGCTTCTTGTTTTCAATGACAGAATAGAGCTTAGGCTGTTTTAGGCTGGAGAGAGGACATGCGTGCTCTAAAACATCAGGTTGTGAGGGCTTCTGGTGACTAAGTCACAAACACGAGAGTGTGGCTCCACTTTGGAGCATAATATGGTTTCAAGGCAAAGCCAAACATTTCACAAAGGAATATGCCCATGGGATGCATTAACGCCGACCGTTCCTCTGGGAGCATGACTAACAGCAAGCAGAGTTTAGAAAAATACCACGTGGTGCCCTATTAGTCACAATTATAACTGCAGGGCTGCTCTATCTCCAGAGATTAAGCGTTTGAGAGGAGAGTGGTCATCTTTTTTTTTTTTTTTTTTTTGAGACAGAGTCTCACTCTGTCACCCAGGCAGGAGTGCAGTGGTGCGATCTCAGCTCACTGCAACCTCGGCCTCCTGGGTTCAAGCAATCTTCCCGCCTCAGCCTCCCAAGTAGCTGGGACTACAGGCGCCCACCACCATACCCGGTTGATTTTTGTATTTTTAGTAGAGATGGGGTTTCACCATGTTGGCCAGGCTGGTCTTGAACTCCTGACCTCAGGTGATCTGCCCACCTTGGCCTCCAAAAGTGCAGAGTGGTCATCCTTTTCATAAGTCTTTCAGAGGGCCTGCGCAGTTGTTGAACCCTCTGTGGTGCCCTCGGTGCTGGACACTATTCGGGCTCCCTACCATGGGGCCTTCCATCTTCACAACAGCCCTGTGAAGCGGCCCTTTCAACAGATAAGGAAGTTGGAGGTCAGAGTAGGTAAGTAACTTTCCCAAGGCTGCATAACTCATGGAATATAGAGCAGGGATTAGAACCCACGTCTGTCTACTTCACTGGGGCTTGGACTGCCGTAATAAAATACCACAGACTGGGCTGCCTAAATCACAGACATTTATATCTTCACGGTCCTGGAGGCTGGACGTCCAAGGTCAAGGTGCCTTCAGGGTTGGTGTCTGGTGAAGCCTCTCTTCCCTGGCTTGTAGATGGAATGGCTCTCTTCTCATTGCATCTGCACATGGCCTTTCTTCTGTGCTGGGGAGTGAGGAGAGGGAGAGAGAAAAAGAGCAAGAGAAAGAGAGAGAGAGAAAGAGAGAGAGAGAGAGAGAGGGCACATCTTACTCTGGTCTCTTCCTTTTTTATAGACACCAGTCCTATTGGATTAGGACCAAACCCTTTGAACCATGTCTAACCATAATTACCTCCCTGAAGGCCTTATTTCCAAATACGGTCATGTCAGGAGCTGGGGCTTCACTATATGAATTCTGGAGGGACACAATTNTATGAGTTTTGAAGAACAAAAGCTATGCTGTATAAAAATGTAAAAATTAATAGAAAGTCAAATGGACAGTACTGAAAACCCAAATAGGGATCAGGCCTAATTCTAATTTTATTTTATTTTTTATTTATTTGTTTTTGTTTTGACAGAGTCTCGCTCTGTAAGCAAGGCTGGAGTGCAATGGTGCGATCACGGCTCACTGCAACCTCCATCTCCCAGACTCAAATGATTCTTATGTATCAGCCTCCTGAATAGTTGGGATTACAGGCATCCATTCCAGCTGTCTCATCCTTCTCAGTTGTCCTGCATCTAATTCCTGGGCTCTCTTGCCTCTGACCTAATCTTTGGTCAGTCTTTGTAAACTGTGGTGACATGCTTGGTCACACTTCCCACTGCTCTGTGGCAGTTATTTCTCTCTTGCTGAGTGTTATTTGCTCGTTTCCTCCTCTTGAGTTTCAGTACCTCTGAACACACACCTGTGCTGGTTCCTTTTGGATTACTTCTCTTCAGATGCAGTGAGCTTTCTTGGGTGAGAAGGAGATTCATGCAAGTTCAATGCCATGGTGCAGGCTAGCAGAAATCTCACATGTGAGTTTTTAGTCGTTACTTCTCCCACCTAATAGATCTGGGTACTATAGAGCTTTTCACAGGGCAAGGCTTGTCTTTTCCCACCCCATAGAGAGACTGCTTCCTGCAAATATGGCAGACCTGCAAATATGATCTGTTTCTTAGAGCCAAGACAGGCCAGGCAAGCTCTGACGCCACCTTGTGCTCCTGCTCCTGCCGCTACAGCAAGACATGCCACTTTCGCACCCCAGGATGGGCTCCTTCCTTGGAGAAGTGAACTCTGCCGTCTCTTTCTGGAATCTACAGCTGGGGGGCACCTTTTCAGCTCCCTCCTGCATCTTCTAGTAGCCCTTTTGCCTGCTCTCTGGTTCAGGAGCTCATCCTCTTCTCCCAGTTTCATGGAAAATGATGTGCTCGTTTCTGTTTCTCATCCTTCTATTGCTTGTGGGTGATTTCTGAGAGGATACAAGTGGAAGTTCAGTCTTGCTGCCATCAGCAAGCTTGAGAAGCACTTTCTCAACCACTCAGCACTCCAGCTTCCTCAATGGTAGCCAAGTTTCTTTTTCTTTTTTAGAGGTGCTGTGGTGGAACCTGAGCTCCTGTTCTTGTCAGCTTATCGTTCCAGACAAGACAAAAACATGGAGAGAAGCTGTATAGGCACTTGGTACCTGCCCAGTGAGCAGGGCAGGTGACACATGCTCAAAGGGAACCTGGGCTAGGAGAGAGAAGGAGAAAGAGAGATGGGAGAGGAAGAGGGAGAGAGGAGGATAGGAAAAGAGAGACAAGCTCCAGCCACCTTGAGAGTTCTGGACTGGAAGGGACAGCCCCCAGGAGAGGTAAGTCTCCAGCAGTGAGGGGAAGAGAGGGGGGATCACACTATTATCTTCTGTCTGCCCTCCAGGGTGACCACGTGTGGCTGGGGCTTCCCTCCAATCACAAGACCGGCGTGGCCATCGGGGGCATCATCAAAGAGACAAAGCCAGGCAAAGTCTTGGTTGAAGATGACGAGGGCAAGGTCAGTGTTCTGGGGCTTTAATCTGGGCCCCGCCCTGCCCCCACATCCAGGGCCCCGGAGCCATTCCCTCCCTGAGGAACCTTGCCCCAACACCAGGGACCCCAAGGCCAAGTGGGGTCCTGGGTGGCAGGACAGATCATGGTGGAGTCCTGCCATGGTGAACATGGCCTGTGTGTCCTGGGGAACGCTTCAAGAGTTGCAGTTCTGGGAAATGAAGAGAATTAGGGGAGCAGGCAGTGGGGAAGTGGGAAAGGGGCTCTGGCAGGGCCACAGGGGCAGACAGCGGGTTTGCAAAGTGAAAGGGGCAGGTGGGAAAGGTGGGCGAGGGAGGTGTGTGGAGGGGCAGGACGGGGCAAAACGCACACGTGAGAGGCCAGCGACCTGGAGTGGCCTGCGGGTGACCAGCTCGTCCACCAGAGAGGTCAGGGCCAGCCAGGTGGTGAGTGGGGAGGGGCTTACAGGGGAATGTCCAGCCGGCCACTTAGCTTCTCAGACTGTCCTGTCTGCTCAGCTGGGTGCTGCAGTCTTAGCCTCCAAAGAGAAGTTTCTAGGCTGTGGCCTGGGGGATCCAGATGATGGAAGTCAGTAAGATAATAACAATATCTTCTATTTGAATAACACTGTAATTTTTAAAAACACTTTTACTTGCACACTCTTATTCCAACAACCTGCAAGGCCCCCAGCTGCAGCCTGACCCTAAATCTAACTTCCGGTTTCAAGCTCCTTTGTCCCTGAGCTGAAATTCAGCCCTTGCCCCAGCTACATCCTAACCCTGGGCCCTAAAGCCATGCTGACCCAGCCATAGATGACACTGATCCTGTCACAGGAGTCCCTTGACCCTTCTTATAGACTGACCCTGACCAGAGGCTGGCCACCAGCCCCAGGTCAGCTGATCCGTGACCCAGAAGACCACTCGTTGCTGAGAAGCTGGAGGGGAGGGTGCGGCAGGCTGGCCACCGGGATGGAGGCCGCCCCTCAGGACTGCACCTGTTGCTCTAGGAACACTGGATTCAAGCAGAGGACTTTGGTGCCCTCAGCCCCATGCACCCCAACTCAGTCCAGGGTGTGGATGACATGATCCGCCTGGGGGACCTGAACGAGGCGGGCATGGTGCACAACCTCCTGATCCGCTACCAGCAGCAAAAGATCTACGTGAGTCTCCCAGTCCTGTGTCCATGGGGGAGCCCCCCGACAGGTGCCGACCTCCTGGACGGGGAGAAGAAAATGATGCACAGGGAGTCTGGGGCCAGGCACTGCCCCTCGTGCCCTCACTGAAGGAGGTGGGCGAGGTACCTAACTTTTTCCAGTCTCTGCTGCCCAGTCCCAAACTAGCAGGGTGATTCCACCCTGGAGGGGAGGAAGCCGATGCCTAGTGACAGCACAGTGTCTGGCATGCAGTCTGTGCTCCGCGAGGGCTGCAGATGGCCATCGCCCTCTGCTCTGTCCTTCCCAGGCATGTTGTAGAGACAGGGTCACCGGACAGAAAGCCCCTGGCCTCCCAAGAGTGAGTCCCGTAACAGCCCAGATACCAAGGTCCTGATTCACCAGACGAGGGGGCCATGAGGGTGAATGTGGGCCCTCCCCATGAAACTGACCTGGATGGAGGTCAGCGCTAGCCCGAAGCTCTCGTCCTGATTCCAGTGCAGATTTCCCCAGGGGAGGTGGCATTCCAAAACCGACACCAGCTCAGCCTAAGCAGGTGTGGCCTGCAGAAGTCACAGCCTCTCTGGTCTGGAGGAGTGGCTAGCTTGGTTGTGACTGGCCCTCCTGGGCTCTCAGAGGAAGGCAGCTTGTGCTTCTAAAGGGCTTGTGCATGCTCTCCGCTTCTGGTGGCACAGTCTGAAGCCAGAGGGCGTGTCCTCTCCTTTCCTAAAATGAAAACCAGGATGTGTGGTCCTGTGGCTTATTGTGCAGGCTCTGCCTGTGCCACCCCTGAGGGGCAGTGGGGCTGGGTGGGGGCTCTAGACGGGCAGCTGATCCAGGGCGGAGGTCCCAGGGGCACACAGAATTTGTGGTTGGGGTCTGTGAGGGCCAGGTGCTGACCAGGCTACGTGAAGGCCCCTGCAGGATGCAGGCGAAAACCCATTTCATACTTAGTCCATTTTTATCGAGCCCCTTCTAAGAACCAGGCAGGGTACTAAACAGTCAACATCTTGTTTTCCTGGAAACCTGTCCCCTGGGAGCTCACCTTCTTGGTAGACACTCCATCTTCCCAGAGGAGGGGTCTGCGCAGCCAAATGTCTTATCTCCCTGGCCCAGAATCGGACTCTCCTTCCCCACCAAAGTCAGTGGCTCTGATAACCCCCTGAGGTCAGGGCCAAGGCCAAGACCAGGGCTGAGCGTCTCTGCCGGGGGTAGATGGCACTAACCGCCTGCTCCCTTCTCAGACGTACACAGGCTCCATCCTGGTGGCCGTGAACCCGTTCCAGGTGCTGCCCCTCTACACCCTGGAGCAGGTGCAGCTCTACTACAGTCGCCACATGGGCGACCTGCCCCCGCATGTCTTTGCCATCGCCAACAACTGCTACTTCAACATGAAGAAGAACAAGAGGGACCAGTGCTGCATCATCAGGTGAGGCAGAGGGATCAGCGCCACCTCCTGGCATCTCCCTGAACTGCTCCTGACCAGCGTGCCAGCAAGGCGGGCGGTGCAGGAGCATTCCCTACCCAACCGCACACACCCCGGCTGCCCTGCGCCCTGAGCAGTTCCTCCGAAGCTTCCTTCCTGCAGAACCTAGACTTTCATTGTATCACCAGGGACTGGACTGCCCAGACTTGAACAAAGGTTTACTGAGTCAAGGAAGAAAGTTGGGCTGGGTTCCTTTAGAAATGGGGCCCGGGAGTCGGGCGTGGTAGCTCATGCCTGTAATCCCGGTGACTTGGAAGGTCAAGGCAGGAGGATTGCTTGAAGCCAGGAGTTTGAGACCAGCCTGGACAACACAGTAAGACCCTGTCTCTGTAAAAATAAAAAAAGAAAAAGATATGGGGCCCAGGTTAGGCACTTGAAGATGCGGGGGTCCGACAGGTGAGGGCCCACTCAAAAACGTCTCAGGGCAGGCCTCGGGTGAGGACAGAGCAGCAGCAGCTCCAGGGGCAGCTCTCAGGTCACCAGGGGACCAGAAGGAAAGTGTCCCCTCCAGTCCAGATCCTAACTCTGCTTCAGAGACTCCCTGCCTGGCCTGGCCTCTCTACCAGTGACCACAGGCCCTCCTGGTGTCAGGAGGTGTCGGGAGGAGGAAGTGTTCGAGGGAACGAGAGGTGGAGTGAGAATATGGCTCCCGGGCACCTTGCTTGGTGCTGTAGTAGAGTCATTCATTCATTCCTTCATTCATTCAATCATTTAAGGTTTTGTCATGCCCCACCTGCACTGTCCTAACATGGGGAAGCAGCAGCTAACCAAAGGGACCAGAATCCCTTCCTCGGGGAGCTTACATTCTAGAAGCAGAGACAGGCAACAAATAAGTGGATTGTTATGCAGGTCCTAGCAGCTTTGAAGAAAAACGTGGCAGGGAGAGGAAAGGGTGATGTTGGCCTCCACATTAGGTAGAGGCAGACCAAGCATGGCCTCTCTGAGGAAGAAGCTGAACAGAAACCAGAATGAAGTCCTAAAGCTCAGGTGATCACATTTCATGTCCTCAGCAACCCTCTGAAAGAGATGCTCTTATTCCCATGTTATGGTCCCATGTTACTGCTGGAGAGACCCACAATCAGAGGGGCTGAGATCCTGTTCCAGCGGCACGCCCTGTGGCTCCCATCATCATCATGATGTAGAATGTTGCCATCATCCCCAGCAGTGAAATGGGGAATTCAAACCCAGGGCTCTGGAGAAGACAGCAGGAAGGTGCCCTGGGAGAGAGCTGGAGCTCCCAACCTGCCCCTGGAGGCAGGGCAAAGGGCCTCTCAGCAGAGCTGGGCTGCAGGCTGGCTGGCCTGGGAGCTTACAGGGTGGCTTCCACCTGGAGGGTGGCGGAGCTGGCTGAGTGTGAACAAGGAGAGGAAAGAGCCCCCTGATGTTTGGTTCCTTGTAGTGAACAGAATGTCAGTTGTCACTTTGAGTCAGACTGGGTTCTCCTCCTACCCTGTCCTCTCCTGGGGCTGTGGGCAAGTCCCCGTAAGCCCCTGTCTCTACAATGGCAGGCTATTTGAGGAGGTTGTGTTCATGAAAATGCCTGGCACTTGACAGGCACTCAGGGGAGTCCATAGCCATCCGTGGAGGCTTGTTGATCTCGCTCTGCTTTGCTGGCACAGTGATCGTGGGCATTTTCATCATAATTTTTAAAAAGGTAATATTTTCAGGCCGGGTGCTGTGGCTCATGCCTGTAATTCCAGCCCTTTGGGAGGCTGAGGGAGACAGATCATTTGAGGTCAGGAGTTCGAGACCAACCTGCCCAAAATGGCGAAACCTTTTCTCTACTAAAAATATAAAAAGTAATTGGGCGTGGTGGCAGGTGCCTGTAATCCCAGCTACTTGGGAGGCTCAGGCATGAGAATCACTTGAACCCAGGAGGCGGAGGTTGCAGTGAGCCGAAATCATGCCTCTGTACTCCAGCCTAGGCAACAGAATGAAACTCTGTCTCAAAAAAAAAAAAAAGGTAATATTTTCAGATGAAGCAATATCTGGGATTTGCTTTAAAATAGTATGGGGAGTGGGGGGCGGTGGGGAATAAACTTGGCCAGGAGTTGAAGCTGGATAATGGGTCTGTGGGAGTCTGTTATGCAAACTGTAAAGTGTAGGAATCCTCTGGGGATTCTGTGAAAATGCAGATTCCGATCCACAGAGCCTGCATTACCTGGGCATCTGCATTCTGGGCCTGCTGCTGGCCTGTGGGCCGTCCTTTCATTAGGAAGAGATTGAGTCATCCCACTCATCCTTCTGTATGTCCTGGGCACTGTGCCGCTGACCCTGGAATGAACCAGATTAGCATGTGCCAAGGCGCTTCCAGCCGAGCACAGAAAAAAAGACAAACTCAGTAACGTGTGCAATGCAGGCAGCCTGAGACCCGCAGGAGACTTCAGGGCAAATGCAGTAGGATTTCTGCAGGGGAGAGGCCATCCCTGTCAGAGGCTCAGAAAGCAGGCCTGGGGTTTGCAGGAGAGTTGAGAGGTGTTGAAAAAAATAGCTGTTTTGTGGCCTCATGTCCTTACATACCCTTTTGCAGTGGCGAGTCTGGAGCTGGCAAGACGGAGACCACCAAGCTCATCCTGCAGTTCTTGGCCACCATCAGTGGCCAGCATTCGTGGATTGAGCAGCAGGTCCTGGAAGCCAACCCCATCCTGGAGGGTAAGCATCACTCTGGGATCCGCCCTTCTCCCCTACCCCCACTGGAGCCTTCCTGCCAGGTGGGACCACAGGGAGGGACAGGATAGACCACAAACCTTCAGCAACTCCTCCAGACCCTTGGGACACAAAACACAAGGGTGGGGTGCATGGTAGGGGTAGGGGGCCCAGGCATTACAAAGGGGAAAGACTGATGACTTAATAAACTTTCACCAGGGGTGCTTTCCACGAGATTGTAAGGAGTACGCTTTTCTAAAAGACATCCAAGATCAAATCAATTTGGGAAATGCTAGGTGTGTGCGCCTCGGTCCCCTGGAAAGCAGTAGCTGGGCAAGAATGAGGCCTGCAAGAGGTTTATCGTGGGGTAAACCTGCAGAAGACAAAGTGGGAGGAAGCAGGAGTGGGCGGGACAAGCCTTCAAATTCAGACGCCCTGCAGACACTTAGGAAGGGGAAAAGGAGAGGAAGCAGCTTGCCTCGGAGAGGCTCATCTGTGATGCAGACCTAAATCTGGGCCAACCCAGCAGGGCTCTGGAGCAAACTGCTCATTAGTGGGCTCCTGTCTTCACCCCAGTGACCCCGGGCTCAGTCTCCAGCCAGGGCTGCCCAGAAGCCTGTGGCCTCGGCCCCAAGGCTGTCAGCTGCTGGACAGCGCAGTCTCTCTCGTTTCTTTACAATTCAAGTTTGCTTTACATATAGTAAATATTCACCTTTTTTCATGCACAGTTTTGTGAGTTTTGACAAACTCATACAGGCTTATGGCTCCCATCATCCTCATGAAATAGAATGTTCCCATCGCCCCCAGATCTTCTCTCACGCCCCTTCGTAGTCACCCCATCTTCCCAGCCCCTTCTCTGGCAACTACTGATTTGTCCTTTTCCCCCGCTCCCAGTTTTGTCTTTTCGAGAAGGTCTTAGAAGTAAAATCACAGCGTTTGTAGTCTTTTGTCTCTGGTTACCTTGGCTATTTGGAATTCTTCCTTGCTGCCGCCTGCATCGGTGACTCCTTCCTTTTTAATGACGAGTAGAATTCCATTGCGTGGTGGTACCACAGCTTCTCCACCAAGTGAAGGACATCTGGGTTGTTGATCGTGTTTAGCTACTAAGACTAAAACCTCTATAAACATTCACATACACGTTCTTCTGTGCACATAGGTTTTTCCCTTGGATAAATATGCAGGCGTGAAATTGTCGGCTCAAATGGGAAGTGAGCCATTTCACTTTGTCAGAAACTTTCGAAATGTTTTCCAAAGTGGTCACAGTATTTTGCTTTCCCAACCAGAGCAGGAGTGTTCTTGTTGTCGTGTGTCCGCGCCAGCACCTGGCACAGTGAAGGACACGGTCTGCCCTCTGATACGTGTGGAGCAGTGCCACATCGTGCTCGTAACTCCCGTGGCCCCGAGACTAAGGATGTTAGCATCTTTCATGTGCTTACCTCTCCTCTGTCTATCTTCTCTGAACGGTCAGTTCAACACTTTTGCCTATTCCTTAATTGGTCTACTTCCTTACCGGTGAGTTTTAAGAGTTCTTCTTTACCTATTCTGGACACAAGTCCTTTATTAGACAAGTGTCACATCTTACGTTGTGTCCCAGTCAGAGGCTTGTCTTTTCTTTCTCTAGACAGTGTCTTTTGCGGGGCAGAAGTTTTAAATTTTGAAGTTCAGTTTGTCCTTTTCTTCTTTTCTGGGTCATTTTTTTGTGTGTTGTATCTAAGACATCTTTGCCTAATCCAGAGGTTTTCTCCTATGTTTTTTCTACATGTTTTGTAGTTTTAGGTCTTATATTTAGGTTGGTGGTCCAGTTTATGATCTACATTTGTGAGCCAATATTTTTCTATGGTGCAAGGTACACAGCATAGAAAAAGACTTGGCTGGGCGTGGTGGCTTATACTAGTAATCCCAGCACTTTGGGAAGCTGAGGCAGTCAGATCACTTGAGGTCAGGAGTTCAAGACCAGCCTGGCCAATATGGGGAAACCCCGTCCCTACTAAAAATACAAAAATTAGCTGAACGTGGTGGCGAGCGCCTGTGATCCCAGCTACTCATGAAGCTGAGGCAGGAGAATCACTTGAACCCAGGAGCCGAGATCACACCATTATACTCCAGCCTGGGTGACAGAATGAGACTCTTTCAAAAAGAAAAAAGACAAAAAGGCTTTTCTGTCTTTCCTTCCTTCTTTCTCACCTTCTTCTCTCCTTCCTTCCTTTCTTTTTCTCTTTTTTGTTTTGTATCAATACTCTATTGTTCCAGTCCTATTTGTCAAAAAGACTATTTTTTCTCCATTGACTTGCTTTTGCACCCCTGCCTAAAATCAACTGGCCATCCATGTATGGGACTGTTCCTGGCTTCTCTCTTCTCTTCCATTCCTCTGTCTATCCTGTCACCAGGGCTACAACATCTTGATTCCCATAGCGTTATAGAAAGCTGTGCAATCAGATAGCATGTGCCCTCCAATTTTGTTATTCTTTTTCAAACTTGGCTATTCCAGATCATTTACCTTTCCATAGATAGTATATGTTAAATTCAGCCTGTCAGTTACTACAAAATAAAATTGCCTGCATCAGGTTCTTTCTTGAAGAGACACCCAACCAGTCACCCCCATGATGGCCACACTGGGTTCAATAAGTTAAATAGGTTTCATAACTGTGGCACTTCTCAGAGGCTCTGCTGTGCACCGGGACTCCTCGAGAGAGAGACGGGATGATGTGTTTCCTAAACCTACTTCCCCAAGGAGCCCTTTTCCTTTGTTTCAAGGGACTATGTTAGATGCTGGTATTCTGAAGCTCATCCTAACCATTAAAGGGCCATCAAATCAGTCTTCTAGAACAAATGAAATATCATAGAATAGAAACACCCCAGTACATCACTCTTCCTAAGAACTAGTACTGAGTATTTTGTTCTCTAACTTTGTGTATGCAGGTGGGCATGTGTATACACTAGGATGCAAGACAAAATATCTTTCTTCCTGTGGATCAGCTTTACAAAAAACACTTTGGAACATGCTGCAACCCAAACCCTCCCGAACTGACTGCCTCCGTGTGTCCTGGCCTGGACACCCTGTCCCCACTCCCCATGCCAGCTTGCCCTCTCCGTCTCAGCCTCAGTGCTGCGGCCTGAGCCATCTTTCTAAGCTGCAGATCTGCTCCTGCTCTCTCTCAGAAGCTTTCCTGCTTCCCTCATCACTGAAGAATGATTGCCCAAGTTCTGAGCCTGGCATCCAAGGCTCTGTGCCACCTGGCCCTACCTACTAACTGGTTCTGTCTGCCTTCCACTGCTTTCCTCCTGTACCCCACGCTCAGACAAGACTTCTGCCTCTGCAAGCACACGCCATGGTTTCTGACCTCCGCGATTTTCCCTGCATTTTTGTCTTCCTCTCAGCGGGCCCTTGGCTGCCATCACTGTCTGGGACAGCCCTGCCCGTCCTTCAGTTGGAGGCTTGGCCACCTCCTCTAAGAAGCCCTCTTAGATGATCCTACTCAAATTACATTTTCTCCTCTCTGCTCCCATCATGGGCATCGCCTGCCTACCTCAGCCTTTGGAAACGCCAAGACAATCCGCAACGACAACTCAAGCCGCTTTGGGAAGTACATCGACATCTATTTCAACCCCAGTGGGGTGATCGAGGGCGCACGCATTGAGCAGTTTCTCCTGGAGCAGTCCCGGGTCTGCCGACAGGTGAGGCCTCCACCCACCCAGGTTGAGTTGAGGGAATAGAGGGGCTCCCCTTCACCACTCTCACCTCTCCTCCCCTCTTCCCCAGGGGCCCACCCAGAGCCCACAGGCCTCACTGGATAATGAGGGCCCTTCCCCAGTATTCCAGGGCAGCAAATAATAGAATTTTTTCCATTTTGGGCAGGGCTCAGTGGCACACTCCTCTAATTTCAGCACTTACGGGAGGCCAAGGCAGGTGGATTACTTGAGTCCAGTTCAAGGCCAGCTGACAAAACCCTGTCTCTACAAAAAATCAAAACAAAACAAAACAAAATAGCCAGGCAGCGGCACACACCTGTAATCCCAGCTACTCAGGAGGCTGAGGCAGGAGAATTGCTTGAGCCTAGGAGGCAGAGGTTGCAGTGAGCTAAGACTGAAGCTTTGCACTCCAGCCTGGGCAACAGAACGAGGCTCTCAAAAAAAAATTTTTTTTTCCATTTTTAATTTTCCATTCACATAAATTTCTTCTTGTTTGATACCTACCATTCCTCATCTCTACTAGAATTATTTCTGAAGCTGAAGCTAGGCTAGTTGGGTGGGCTGTATCTTCAGGTGTGTTAGGAGCCATGGCAGAAAGACACAGACGACAGTATCCCTAATGCCACATGGCCGGGAAGTAGCATGTGGCCTGTGTTGTCACACCAGGCCCTGTGCTCAGGGGCCCCATGCTTGGTTTCATGCTCTGCTATCGCCACCCTGAAATTCTTACTAGCCTTTCAGCAAGAGCTATCATGGTTTCCTTCTGCACTGGGCGATCATGTAGCCAGTCCTAAGTAACAGGAATCCCATCACGTGGCACCCACAACAGCAGAAATAATGCATCTCTGTGTGGGGGGTGCTCTCGTATGATGGCATGACACCTAACACATGCATGTGAGCAAGTGAGCACACACATGCGGTGGGGGTGCAGAGGGGAAGCGTCACCAACAAGGGTGCTGTGGCTGTCAGAGGGACAGATGCCTCGGCACTGTGGGCAGCTGAGAAGGAAGGTCACATTTAGCAACCCCCCTGACCTGGTGCTACGCTTTTCCCATTTTATCTCATTTGACCTTCACAACCAGGAGAGGTAGGTCACCCAGAGACATCGTCAGGTGAAAAAAAAGGAAGTTACAGAACCATAAATATGTTTTGTGTTAAGATAAGAAAAGAGAGAAATATTTATAGATATACTGTAAGTAATTTTTTTTAATGTCAATACAAGAACAGAAAACCAAACATCATATATTCTCACTCATAAGTAGGAGTTGAACAATGAGAACACATGGACACAGGGAGAGGAACGTCACACACCAGGGCCTGTCGTGGGGTGGGAAGACTGGGGAGGGATAGTAGGGGGTGGGGGGATAGGGGAGGGAGAGCATTAGGAGAAATACCTAATGATGACGGGGGGATGGATGCAGCACACCAGCATGGCATGTGTATACCTATGGAACAAACCTGCATGTTCTGCACATGTACCCCAGAACTTAACTTATAATAAGTTTTTTTAAATACCTAGGTTCTAGGGCAGGGAGGAGGAGATTTAAGGGAGAGGAAGGCAGGGTGGAAAGGAGCTCTCATCTTTTTGTATTTTGAGACAGGATCTCACCTGTCACTCAGGCTGGGGTGCAGTGGTACAATCTCAGCTCACTGCAGCCTCACAAACTCTTCCTCCAGAGCTCATGTGATCCTCCCACCTCAGCCTTTTGAGTAGCAGAGACTAGAGGTGTGTGCCACCACGTCCAGCTAATTTTCTTATTTTTTGTAGAGATGAGGTCTCACTATGCTGCCCAGGCTGGTCTCAAACTCCTGAGCTCAAGTAATCCTCCCGCCTCAGCCTCCCAAATCTGCTGGGATTACAGCCCAACTGAAACTCCCATCTTTTAACACCACTGTACCTGCTTCAGATTGTTTGATTTTTATGAGAATGCACTTTAAAATAGTGTTGAAAAAAATACAGAAGGCAGCCTAGGCAACATGGCAAAATCCCATCTCTACAAAAAAATACAGAAATTCACTGGGGGTGGTGGTGTGTGCCTGTGATCTTGGTAGGCTGAGGTGGGGGATGGCTTGAGCCCAGGACTTCGAGGCTGCAGTGAGCCAAGATCACACCACTGCACTTTAGCCTGGATGACAGAGCAAGATCTTCTCTAGGGAAAAAAAACACAACAACTGAAGGCCCAGGGAGCCCCATGGCAGTCAGATCTCTCGTGGGCCAGTAAGTGACTGTGAAGAGAGCCCCGACTCTATGCCATCACTCCTGGCCTGGGGACTTTGGGCACATCAGTGTCAGGGCTTCAAGGAGCAGTCAAGATGCAGGGCAGAGAGGAGTTCTCAGGGCTGGGATGAGGC